CCCCAAAACCCCAAAACCCCGTCTAGATAAATTTCTATATTTTTCAAGATTCAAAAATATATTTACTAATTCACAATATATGCTGCTGAAATAAATTCTACAAATGCAATTTCAGTTTTTATCTTTGCGAGGTTTTATTCAAAGAAGGCTTCAGTTAAAGAGAAGTATTAAGTCCTTGATACTTAGTATATTTCTCCTCTTAATAAATAATCTCCCTATTAATCTTATTGAGATCCTAGGCTTTTTTGTATTTTATCCTATCCATAGATATTATATTCCCAAGACTCAAATTTTATGTTTGATGAGTGATTTACAGAGCCATGTATTGATACTAAAGCTCAATAAAATCCAAGTCAATCGCTTCTTGTCCTTCATTGTGATTTTTCATGTATCCAATTAGTTTTAGTAAATAAAATCTCTTCTCTTCAGAATCTTACGAATCATCTTGTATTCCAGTTTTATCATCATTAACTTTAAACCATTATTCTGAGTATTCCTACGCTTTTTCATATTCACCAACCTGACATAATATCTTGCACTATTTGTACTATACTCGTTTAATTAATCCCTTAAATTAATTCATATTTGCTGATTGATGTAAATCACCCATATTTAACTTAATAAATTCAATAGACTCATTGTATAAATCAAAATTTACCATCTGCTTAACTATTATCTACAGTTCACTGAAATTTAAAGGCTTAAAATCTTTAAATTAATAATCTGTTATAGTAATGAATAAACCAGGTTCTATTAAAGTTAAGTTTAGCAAGTATAAAAATGATTTTAGTTATCGTTATGTATCAGTAAGGTAGCTTGATCTTGCCTTGTATTTTTCTAGTCTTTGGACTATTTATCCCTTAGTCTTCTTAATTGATTTATATTCATTCATAGTGATACTTTTAATAGACTTAGTGATCAAGTATTAGTCAAGTAATTTTAGGAGATAATCAGATTTCTCCTCTATAGTAGTATTTTTTATTTTTATCAATTTGTATAAAATTTCAAAGTCAGTGTAGATTATGTTATTTTTCACAAATTCATCAATTTCTTTAGTAGCAATTAGCTAAGGATATCTTTATTCAATCATATTTAAAGATTAATAATCAAAAGAATTTATTAGCAGGCAGATTAATACTGGAATATTTTATGTTTTCTCACAATTCCAATAGTAGCTTGATTCCTAAATACAATCTAATACCTTTAAATAGTTATGGATATCAGGAAAAATTTCTTTATATCTATCCATTAAAACCAAGGACTTATCAAATTTATTCAAAGATTTTAAGTACTCATAAAACTCAAGTATCTCGCTTTACTCTGTCAATAAATCTTACTTTAGAGCAAGAATAAGATATTAGTCAATAATCTCATACCATTCATCCTTCAATTTAAATACCTCCGATCTCTTTAGATATAGCAATAAAGCTGGAATTAATTGACTCATTGATGCATTTTATAGCTCATTTAGAATTTGCCTAAACTCCAATTTTAATTTTATCCGAGCATCTTTTAATGTCTAGTTCTCATTTAGCAAGCCATTATGACTCAGATTTTGCATCAATTGGAGTTCAGTTTAGTCTATTTTATCTAGATAGAATTCAAGATAACGAATCGTTATATTTTCAACATTTTCATTTGGATCAATGTCAATGAAAGTGATATCTCTTAACGAGTCTTCAAACTTGCTTGTGGTTTTATTTTCAATTTCTGAAAACTGATATAATAAGTCATACAGATCTTAAAACTTTGTGATAGTTGACTCTGGTCTTTTGACTTCTGGAAAATGCTAGTCTATATATACTGAATCAGGTTCTCTAAAATAGTCAATAGGGATTTCTTTATGATCTATTTTAAGTTTATCTTTCATTGTAAGCAAGCATTCAACCTTTTTCTTATTTTCATTCGGTATTAATTTAAGTATATTTTCTTAATTAACTACTTTCCTTGACATTTCTAGTAAGAGTATCAGAAATTGCTTTTTATCAAAATCATTTTCATCCTCTAAATACTAAAGGTCAAAATCATGTAACTTAAAAGTATCTTAATTAATTATCTCTATAAGTAGGACTAGATCAATGTCAGAGTTAGCCTGAATAATTTTAATAATATCTATATTAAGAACCACTCTCATTTTAAGCGCTAATTCATAATTACCTCGAGCAAAAACATTCTCACACAAATATTGAAGTGGTGTCTTGGACATAAACTCTCTAATGTTAAAATCTTTAGGAGACATCTCTACAATTTATTTGATCATCTACAGAAATTTAACGAGGTAATCAGTTTGTAAATTTAGATCTCTACTTTAGCTTATCTTGAGAAATTCATTGAGGCAGTGTTAAAATGATATTTTATTGTTATTCACTGGTTCATTCATATTGAAACTATCGATCTATATTAGTCAGTTGAGAAGATGTAATTATTACCATGTTAATTAAAGCCTGTTTTTGCTTAGTGATTATTAATGGATTACTCTAAATGTTCTGAGTTAAAACCTGTTACGAGCCTGAATTACTTTAGTCTATTACTCCCTAGTTCATGCTGATTCCAATCATAGAGTGCTGAATTCCTTGCGTGTCCAAAATCACATCTTTGACCGTATTCAATCTACTACTGTTATTGTCATTTTTAGCCTGCATGACTTGTTGAATAAGCTTTTCAATTTGCATTTTCAAATCATTATCACTAAGTTTTTCCTTGGCTTAGTTAAGGATACTTAATGAGAGACTTATATCTTCAGATTATATAATGGCAAAGTCTATTTATTTGATAATGGGCACACCTTCAAAGTTATATTGTAGGATATTAACTAAGTCTTGATAGTCTGTCTAAAGTTATGAGTAGGCACTTATATCAATTTGAGATAGTAGCTAAGTGTCTTGATATTAAATGAGCAACTTTACTAACTTTTGCTTGTTTATCTAACAAATCTCAAACATTGTCATTTTGTTTGCCAATCTATACAATAATTATTATACTGCTACTTACCCTCTAAATAGGCTATAGTTGTCTAGAATTGATTAAGATTAATTAAAGAGTTGCATTCTAATTTATAACTCATTAGCTAGTTCTTTGAAGTCACTTATGATGCTGCTCTGTGTAATACTTCTTAGAATGAATCTCAATATCACACTGCAATTTTGATCTTAATAATGATGAACGTAGGTTTCATTTGGATCTTCAGATTTGCTGAAGAATAAAGCCACAATAATTATCAAGATCTCCTTTAGAATCAAACTGCACTCTATCATCTCAATTAGAATCTTTTCTATCTATTTAAGTTATCAATAATAAAATTACTTTATCTAGGTTTTCCTCAATTTAAGCTATAGTGTAATTTTTTCCTTATATTGTTTCCATAAATAACTTAATAGCATAAAAAGCCTTTATTTCATGTAGTTAAAGTTTAATTTCTGAACTCAACTTTTTGTTATTTAGCAACATTACCCCTTCTAATTCAGTCTTAATCAGATTAATATTTTCAAGGCTCATTAACTTTAAGCAGTCAAACTAAGCTAAAGTTTAAATTAGTTAATTCTATCTAGCAAATTTATAAATTTCGTCTAATGAAGGCATTAATGAAATTTCCTAACTCAAAATTTATTTATTCTAATTCAAATTAGATTGCTGTTTGGACACTTAATTAATAATTTAGACCAATTTAAGCTATAAATTTTACTCTTCCATAAAGCTCTCCAGTCTCTTATCAGTCTAGTAATTACTATTTATTGCAGAATATTGATTTGTTCTTGCGAATTAAACTAGATTACTCATAAACTCAAAACTATCTTTGGCTTCATTCCATAAAAATATCAGTATAAGAATCCTTAGTTTAGAGTAAGGGTGAGTATATATCAAGGCTTATTAGTAATTCTACGCTCTAATGGATGTAATGGCTCTTTAAACCACATACTCTAAGAAATGGTTTGTTTTACTATTGATTATATAGTATAAGTAATTCTTATTAAAAATATCCCTTTCATATTCTTGCTGAAGTTAGCTGAAACTAATCAATTATTGAGCTTTGCTTCTGTTTTGTGATATCTTGTTTATAATCTTAACTAGATGAATATATTCGTTCTTGGATTAAACTTAAAGTGGTAAAGACTTGGTTGTATTTTCATAAAATCTATTGAATATTGTGATGGGATCCTCAATCATATTTGCCTCAATAACTTAAGAATATAGTTTAATTAGTTAAGGATTTAAATTATAAACAGAAAGCATTTTACTATATAAATCAGCTTTTTCATAATCCTTAAACTTCCCATTAATAACTGATATTCTCTTCTTTATTTCACTATTAAAGTCCTAGATATCATTATTATTTCCTTATGATATCATTTGGCTAATTGTTCCTTTTTTAAATTCGAAAAATAAACTCTCAGCTTCACTGAGGATTCTTATCTTTTAAACAGCAAATTTACCCATATTACTATTGCCCATTTGAGTTATATAATTATGTATGCATTTTAATATCTCACTTGCATAAGTTCATATTTTTATCTAAATCGAGCCATTAATGCTTTCGTTTATAAACCTCGATAAATAAGGCAGGAATTTCAAAAGCACATCATGCTACTCAAATATAATACTCTCTATCAAAAGCTGAATTAATACATCTGTAATCTATGCATAAATCATATCCAAAAGCCTTTGATAAATCAATTGAAATTCCTTACTCATCAATGTCCTAAGTTCATTTTTACTCACAAAGTCAAGAAAGTGAAACAAAGACTCAGCTTTATCGACCATAAACTAGTAAAGCTAAGGTTCGTTGTCAATTGTCTGACTGAATAACTCCGCAAAATTTTTTAGACATACATTTTGAACATTTTCCAAAGTGATTTCTCTTTGATTATAAACTTAAAATTCAATATTTGTGTGAAATTTGTGGACTCTTATCGGAGGAATAAATAGTGCCTCACGTTTTGAGCTTTTTAAAATCATTTTGTAGACTGAGCTTCTAAAGCATGCTAGAGACTCATAAACTAATCCTTCATTATTAATAAATCTAATGGGCTCTTATCCATCCTGCTTAAACATATTAGCCAATTTAATATCGAAAACTGTCAAGATCTCATCTAACTGGTTTATTTTTATTCCTTTTTCTTTCATCATGCAGAGCAAGAACCAAGAGTAATGAGCACTGGTTGGAACATTTATATTTATTGTAAAAGAATTGAAAGGCTCCCCTGTCGATCTTAAAAGCTCCCACAATTCTAGCAAGAGGTCATGCTCATATAAAATTCCTTGCTATTTTTTCATTTGGATTTCTAGTGCATGATATAAAAATCTGAATACCTCGAACTAGCCCAACGAGAAATGATTTTTCAAAGTTAATAATAACGCTTTATGAGAGTTGTATGACAAGAAGTTGATCTTTGAGGTGCTACTATAATGTTCTTCCATTATTATTGAAATAATATGATACCACTAATTTATATCAAGTTAAATTTACACTCTAAATTAAAAATTATCCTAATGGGGTTTTGGGGTTTTGGGGTTTTGGGG